TTTGTTAATTTTTTAATAGCCAAATCTCTATCTGCATTTGGTTCTAATTTTTAAATTTTTTCTGTTATAATATCATAAGCCTTAGTTTTCATGTTTATATCAAAGTATAGGGACCGTTATTTAATCAAACAACAAGAATGTGGTGTTAGAACAAATTTAAAACTGTGCTATTTAACCGTACATACACGATCAGCATACATACACGATCGTTCAAGACTTCATGCAAAGCCAAATTTCAGAATCAATCCGATTTTGCTCAAACCAGAGCTGCGCAGTCAAAACAGTGTAAAAAGTGATCGTGTGTAAAGCCCCTCATATTCTGCGGGTATTGTTTTCTGTTTAGAAACAGATGATTTATGTTCAGCAGATAATGTTTTATGTTCCGCAGATGATGTTTTATGTTCAGCAGATGATGTTTTTATGTTCAGAAAATGACGCTTTATGTTCAGCATTTTACAGTTATTACTTATAAAGAAAGGACACAAAATAACATAACATGCAAAACGATAGTTTCTACTAAATAAATTAACATATTGTTATAATACTCGTTGTCGTAACCGATTTACGATGCGACGGGTTCAAATCCTCGATTGAATAAAATATTCCAAACCGTTATTAAACTTTATTTACAGAAGAAATCAACTATTATTAGTTATTAAACTATTTACAGAAGAAATCAACTAATCGTTTATTTCCAGTAAATTCAAACTAACGCAACAATTAACTTTTAAATCGTTCAAAATCTATCGCTATGACAACGTCAACAAACAAATCAAATATCGCTTTAAATAATTCACCGAATCGCTATTCACAAAATCACGAATTTCACTAATCATGAATATCACTAATCACGAATATCACTAATCACGAATATCACTAATCACGAATATCACTAATCACGAATCTTCCTGCGACGTGCGCTTATATACTCTTCGCAAGCGTCGTTTTTAGATTCTTCCAGATGGTCCGATTCTAGCATACTCAAGAATGCTCCAGTCACTAGAACATTCCAGAATACACTAGAATCTAGTGCGTTCGGTAGCACGGTTATAACATTACCCCCTTCTTAGTTCTGTTCGTCCCGAACAGCTGTCGTTCCGGTGTCCGCATGGTACGGAGCCAGTCTATCCAAATGAACGATCTTCATTCTTGCTCTCGGCTTCCGATATTCCTGAATACGGTAGACGACGTCATTCAAGCGGGTGATGACTTGATAAGGTCCTTCCCACCCTCGCTGGAGCTTTGGAGAACGTCCTTTCTTTCGCTGTGGGTTGTACAGCCAAACTAACTCGTCGACAGCAAAACCGCCACTGCTTCCTTTTAAGTCGTATCTGGTTTTGGCCGCCTCCGTGTTTTTCATAATTTTAAGGCGTACGTAACGGTGGATATGGTTTAATCGCTGTCAAAGATTATCCACGTATTCTGTAAAATCAGCAATCAACGCCTCGGCTTTTAGACGGTCTTCTTGATACAAATTGAGTTCATCCAGTAGATTTTTGGTAAGTTCTTTGAGTCTACCTTTGTCAGTTGGTAGAACCTTTTCCTGTTGCTCCACATCTAATGATTTCACCAAATTTATTGATTGGCAATTATCTATTTCTTCGCTTTTTTTAATTTTAATAGTGTGTTTAGCGGTATTCATTATTCTGACAGGAATAAGACCATTTTTGTTCGCTTCTACCAGGCATTTTCCAATGACCGCGTTCTGTACATTTGTTGTTGAGGTTGGCTCCATCAAATAGAACTGGTGGCCCCCAGGATCGCAATTCAACTTGCTCCATACGATGTTTTCAGATGATTGCGGTAGTTCTAAGTCACAATCGACTGTCACTCGAATACATTTTTCGTCGTTATCCCCCATTATCACTTCTGTATTTCTCCATCTAAGAATGCGTTTTTCTAAGTCAATTTTGAACCCATATTTTGTCAGAAAGTCGACACCTATTATGCATTCGTCGATGGTATCCGCGACTAAGAATGAACCTTCGAATAAGTAGCTGAACAGTACGGAGAATCTTTCCATAGACTGGTGCTGTTCCTCCGGTAGCTGTTCGAAGGATGTATTTGTTAGAAGTCTCTTTCTTCAGATTGGGTACCAAATCAGATCTTTAAATCGATTTTGTTGCTCCGGTGTCGACTGTAATTACACATTCTCGTTGATCAACTTTTCCGTTCAGCCATAGGTCGTTTCGATTTCGATGTAGTCCGGAAACGTTAATTACGGTACTGGGAGCGTCAATTCTACTAGCCAACCTCTGCCCCACAAAGTTGGCTCTTATTAGTTTTCCGCCCCTTCGTTAGAAGGGGCCGATCGTGATACAGGATCATCTTCTCTTCTTTTGCGCCATCTTGTCGCGCAATTTCGGCAGTAGTTATCTTTTAGGCGGTGTTTACAATCACGACGTAGATGGCCTTTTTCACCACAAATCCAGAATTGGGGTACACCATGCTGTTGGGGTTCGCGTTTTACAACCACCTTCTGGCAAGAGCATTCTTCATGTACTTGGCGTAGACGTACGTCACTTTTTGATGCTTGCTTTGCCGATTCAAAAGTGAGACTGTGTCGTTTATCTGACAAGAGAAGGGATTGTTTGAGTTCCGAATCACGAAGGGCTTTGATAAACGTATCCAGGGCAGTTTCGTCTCTATGCTCGGGGTCTGATGTCGGATACGACAGCAATGTCAACCGTTCGATATCTTGTGCCAGCTGCTGAATGGATTCACCAGATCGTTGCGTTCTGTTTCTAAGTTGAGACCGATAAATCTGTTTCATGTGTTCTTCACCATAACGTAAATCCAACGCGCTAACCAGAACTTCATAGTTGAAGTGGTTCTCCGCCGGAATCGTCTGAAGAACCTCTGCTGCTGAACCTCGCAGGGCCAGTATCAGTGCTGTTGCTCGTTCTTTTCCGTTCCAACAGTTACTAGTTGCCGCTGCTTCGAACTGGGTTTTATAAACGTTCCAAGACATCTCTCCGTCAAATGCTGGTACCTTCAAAGTTCTTCCGGATGCGTGATCTAACGGCATGGCCATTTTTTTGGATTGCTCCAAATCTCGCTTCAATTTGTTTATCTTGTGATCTACCTCAACGGTCTGACGATCAAGTTTCTGCTCGATCATTTCTATTCTTGTTAACTGTTCTTCAATCTGTTCTGCCACTTCCAATTTTACGTGTTTTAGCTGGTCCTTGATCTGTTTTAACTCCTCTGTCCGTCGTTCGGACTGTTCCTTAATCTGTTGTTTTAACTCTTCTGTCTGTCGTTCGGACTGTTCTTTGATCTGTTTCATTTCAGTTGACATACTAAGCAGAAGTTCCATCATTTTAGCGGTTGTAAACGTGCCTGTGCTAATTTCATTGTCTTCGTCAGCACCATCAAACTTGAATTCGTCTGGGTTCTTACCTTCGTCAATGAGAGCTTCTCTCAGACGTGCTACTAGTACTTCTTTGTTGCCACTTGTGACAAGGCTTCGTTTCTGTAGTTCTTCTCGTAGCTGAACTACGTTCAAACCACACAGTTTTGACATCGTGTTCTTTTTCTACGAGTAGTAATTCGCTGGTCGAAGATCCCACTTCTGACACCAATGTTATAATACTCGCTGTCGTAACCGATTTACGATGCGACGGGTTCAAATCCTCGATTGAATAAAATATTCCAAGCAGTTATTAAACTTTATTTACAGAAGAAATCAACTATTATTAGTTATTAAACTTTATTTACAGAAGAAATCAACTAATCGTTTATTTCCAGTAAATTCAAACTAACGCAACAATTAACTTTTAAATAGTTCAAAATCTATCGCTTTGACAACGTCAACAAACAAATCAAATATCGCTTTAAATAATTCACCGAATCGCTATTCACAAAATCACGAATTTCACTAATCACGAATATCACTAATCACGAATATCACTAATCACGAATATCACTAATCACGAATATCACTAATCACGAATATCACTAATCACGAATATCACTAATCACGAATCTTCCTGCGACGTGCGCTTATATACTCTTCGCAAGCGTCGTTTCTAGATTCTTCCAGATGGTCCGATTCTAGCATACTCAAGAATGCTCCAGTCACTAGAACATTCCAGAATACGCTAGAATCTAGTGCGTTCGGTAGCACGGTTATAACAATATGAACTACAATAAGTTTTTGTGGGGCGACAGCACCGAATTTCCCTTACCTAACAACGCCCACTAATTCAAACAACTTGCATTTTTATTTTCATATTTTGTTTAACTAGAAGACATCTAAAAGTAACTGCAACAATACAATCTGAATATAAAGTCAAATTTTTAATTTTTCCATAACCACAACACGATCGTCATCATTACTACGTAGTTATTACATCAGTTATATGTCATCATTAAAACCGTCCTTGCTAACAAGGCACCGGTGAAAAGAGCAACGTGTTTTTAACTTAATTGTCAAACGTTTTACCTGACGGTGCTGCCTTGCAAAGATTTTGCCAAAAGCCATTTCAAAAAATATTATTAACTCCAACTTCAAAACCGTTTTGAAACATTTATAAATTTTCGAACCTTGTACGACATTCTAAAAAAATAAATTATCCCTTATATTTTAAAATTTTTTTACACATTTTAGATTTTTTTTTAAAAACGCAACAGGAAGTGTTGCGCATTTTAAGGTGTAAATGCGTATTTACCACACACACAACACGCACACATACGTGCAAAAGTCTTCCACACACAATACACAGGGTTCACAAATGAACGCGTAGTACGCACACATAACACACACACGTCTTACACATACATACACACGTCTCATACATACATACACACACGCCTCACTTATATATATATATATATACACACACACGTTTTCTTACACATACACACAAAACACACACGCACCTCACACATGCACACACACAGAGGAGGTCTACAATACAAGGCTACAACTGTGCAACGCTTCCACGCAGCTGCTTACATACGTATTGATACGAATGAATAGAATTAAAATGCACCAACCAAGACCAGTAAGCAATCTCCGTCAATGTTTTCTTATGCGAGATATCATATGAAGTGTATTGTGTGGTTTATTTTTGTGTTTTGTTGAAAATAACAATCAACACGAATACGTTGCAGCCATGATTACAATTTAACTTTTCAAAACTTTTATTAAACTATCGAACTTAACCAGGTTCGTAATGGGAAATAAACTGAAAAAGTTTAATCCGATTTCGCAACATGAAACGGATAAAAGCCAACCCGAATATGAAAACGTCGACGATCAATCAAACAAAGTTTGTAAATATTAAATATTTTACATTTAAAACAAAAGAAGTCGTTAATCAAATAAAATTATAGTTGAATATTAATTAATGAAAAACCTCTAACCTGGCATACACATCGACGATTACAGAATTTGACTACTAATAAAAAAGATTAAAAAAATCATAGCAGGTGGGTGCAAGCAGCAACCCTGTTGAGGACGATGCGGTGGGTCCAGTGAAGAGGGCGCCGAGGAGAGGAGCGGTCAGCGCGGAGGTCTACACCGAGGAAGATGCCGCCTCATACGTTAAAAAGGTTTTCTTCTATCCTCACATGCGCAGACAATATTTTTCATTCCGTTGTTAAATGATCACGAAGGTCGTCCCAAAAGACGAAACGACCACAGCCGCTCTCTACAAATCAATCGCTAAAAATGTTCTATTTTCACATTTGGACGAACAAGAAAAAAGGTAAACTTTAATAACGTTTAAACAAATTTGTTGTTAAACATGTTGCTATCCTGCAAGTATTGCTGTGGACAAGAACACCAGTATTCAACTTCATGAATAAATAAACTTATTTCACTAACTGTTAGTGATTAACACAATGTCTAATCTTTTGGCAACAAAAAAAAATTTTTAGTCTACTTTTGGAAAATGGCTCCAGTGTTGACTTCAAAATAATTAATTGCGAAAGAAATCTGTTTCAACAAAACCAGCTAACAAAATGTGAACAAATGTTTAATTGAATAATTGAACCAGATCTTTCGATAATTTTTTCAGAGATATTTTTGATGCAATGTTTCCACGTGTATGTGAACCTGGGGAAATCATCATCAAACAAGGTTAATTCGATTTCTTCAGTGAATGTTTATGAAATTTTATTATTTCAACATTAATTAAGTTTTTTATTATTAAATTAAATGAATAAATGAATTAATATATTATATAATTTTATCAATTAATTAGTATATTATATAATTAAATATATTATCGTTTTTAACAAATGACGAGACGCGTGTTTTGATACAAGAAAAAGCACAATTAAAATTAAATGAAATTAATTAAAATTAAATCAATTAAAAACACATTTCTAAAAATACTTGAAGATCTACATCACTTTCTTCTTTTAAAAGTTTGAAACATTTAAAAACATAAGTAGACTAAGAAAAAAGATATACCTACTTTTAATCAAACAATGGTTTCGTCAGCAGCAATTGTACCTACTACAATGGTGCCTTATATAGATTTCACCCTCTTGCTTTTCAAAATCTTAAATTAAATAAAATTGAAGTGAAATGTTTTTAAATGCATCAAATAAACTGGCCCCAAATTTTTTTGCAACTTATAACACCATTCTCCTGCATAACCATTTTTACTACTGTGATCTGTCTGTCTTCTTTATTAGCATGCTGTTCGTTTTTGTTGTTTCATCATCCCCATCATGTAAATAATCTTAATCAGCAACCGTGGCTTAAGCAAAAAGTAAATCAGTTCAACGTATGCCGTCGTCTTGACTGTTTTGTCTTTGTCACTCAAATATAAGCACATTTTTTAAAAAAACTAGCTTTTTTTAGGTTTTTTTTTAGAAATTTTAGGTTTTAAGGTTTTTAAAAAATTCAAAAAAAAATTTTATAAATAATTTTTTTTATCCAATTTTGGTTATTGAAATATGAATGTTTGACAGAAAAATTTTTCTTTTTTAACATTTTATATTAAATTTAAGCATGTACTTTTCTTAACATTAAATTTGTTAAAATAAGAATATAAATTTTTCAATTAAGTTTAGTGAATCAAGGGATGTATACTTTTGATCACTTCATAAATTCTAATAATTTATAAAAACCTTAAAAACTTAAGAAAAAAATATAAAAAACCTAAATCTTTGACAGCTCTCTCCCGTCATATATGCAATGTAAATTGCACTATATATATATATATATATATATATATATATATATATATTAAGGTGAATCGAAATGTATAAAATATTAAGTTGGAGATCCTGTACATGTCTAAAAAGTTGCTTTTTGATGTACTCGTTTGGAAAAACCTCACTTTATATTTTATGGACAGTGGCTACAGGTCCCAACTCCGACTAGAAAAACTACATAAATACCCAATGTTAGTGTAACGTATTGCAATGTATTACAAATTAAAAAGAATGTAAACTGTAACGAATCAATGTTAAACAGGAACAATACAAAGTTGTTTAACCTAACTGTTAATAAAATCTTTCTTGCTGTCTGTTTTTGGTATCTCTAATCTGGATTTCTTACTCTGTAACACCATGCCATGACGGGACTTTCTCCCATAAACTTTACAGCTGGCAGCGCTAACGTCTTTAATTGTTCTCTCTACTGCCTGTGAATGACATGGAACATCGGGCAGTAGTATTGGATGTGTGTAAGTAAGTTGATCATTTGAAAGGTGTGATAGCATCGGAGGAGACGTAACATTACTCTGGTCCTAGTCAATCATGTTAATGAACGATGTCGCAGCCAGATGTAATGTTATATTCTTCTTATCAAAGACGTGAACCGGTATGTTACTATTAGTCTGCTTCTCTTTTGCTCTTATTATTTGTTCTACTGAAAAACGAACCACAGCTTGATCTAAAGCATCAAGTTCCCGAAACAACTGAATTAAGTAAAAGAAATTGTTAGCACCATTTCGGCAAGAAGAATTTGATTTAATTTTGAACCAAGAGGGTCCGTAAAAGTTCAAAATGAAATGCGTTACTCTTCTGAGAGGTTCAGATGCTACTTCTCTAGACATATAGAGACGCAAAATCCTGTTGGCTTTCGTCAACCATCGAGCATGACTTATATTTCCAGGTAAACTCTTCTCGAGGAAATCAATATCTGTAGAAGCCTGACGTCCACGCTGTACTGCTAGACATGCTTTCAAAAACTACAGTTGGTCTGTGCTAAGATCCTTCTTGACAGCTTCATCACAATCAGTCACCTTACCTGTAATTGGCAAATAATTAACGACAGGCAATTCATTTGGATCATATTCTAGAGCTGAGCTAATTGTACCTGTCGATGTGGAAGGTCCTGTAGTTCGAGCAAAATCCACGCCTGCCAAAAACCTTCTAAATGGCAGCTCGTTACAGTGTGAAAGGCATACCAACTACTGTAATGGCCTACCTAAGTTCTCCTCCAGTTAAATGAAGTGATTTATCTACAGTCTAGACTATAGCCTACTGTATTATACATCTATATTAGCCTACTTGAATTTTACTATAGATCTATTATTGCAAAGAAGAAAATAAAATTACAAAATAATATATTAGATATTTTGCTTTTTTCTAAAAAATCCAGCACATGGTTTGTTGTTAATGTTGGTGACGTCACATGCAAATAACGTTATAAAATTTACTCCATTTCTTTTTTAGCACTTGTAGTTAGGTGCTAAGCCATTTGCCAATGCATTTTAGTCAATGATTTATAGTTGGTACGTATTTAGATTGTACCAAGGAAATGGTTAAAATACACCAAATAAGGTAAGACTTTAATCAAAAGTTGGGACCCCTAAACGTTTCATAAAAAATTTTTAAATATTATTTTCATACTGTACTGATGCCAAGACAACTTTTTGTTCATGTACAGGAAAGATAAAAAAATTCGACCCACCCTAATATATATATATATATATATATATATATATATATATATATTTATTAGCTGTCCTCTAAAGTCTAAGTGCAATTCAGTTGCCCCGGTAACGTGCAGCCGAATAGGGATAGGCTTTTCAAAGACCTATATATTATTTATATTTCAAGTTTCCATCCCCAGAACATTTTCGTCCGAATTTCTTTCACGTGCACAATAAAAATCAATAAATGGGACAAAATTTATTACGCAGGTGATGATGGCGACAATTTTTACGTCATCGATCAAGGAGAAGTCGAAGTAAGGGTTATCGTTATACTAATATATCTCAATATATAATACTATAAAATTTCATATATATATATGTGTGTGTGTGTGTGTGTGTGTGTGTGTGTGTGTGTGTGTGTGTATAATCGTGACTTTGTTTGTGTTGTAACATTAATAATAAAAATAATGTCATATAAATAAAATACACGTGAATCCAAGCATCAGACACTTTGGCACGTGATGGGCGAAGATTCCCTAACATTCGAGCCATTATCACCGCATTAACACACCACACGACGTACACATTTACAAAAAACTCGTCATACGTTCGATGCACGCGATGATCTTTAATTTGGCGCAGACATTATTTGATCCAGGTCATAGCTTTTTTTATTGTCCGAACTAACTTGCAAAAACAGTTAATTTGGTACATTTTAAAGTACTAATGAACTTATATGATTATCTTTGTACTAAAAAAATAAATAATTCAAATTTGTAAAAAGATTTTTGTGAACGAAACATACGTTGGATCGTTGAGTGAGGGTGCTAGTTTTGGTGAACTAGCTCTAATCTATGGAACGCCAAGAGCAGCTACTATAAAAGTACTTTTTTAGTTAAAACACAAATTTTTGATATATAAAATCATCTAATACAATTCGTTTGAATAAAATTTTTATAATTATTACCAACCAGGCAAAAAACTCAGTTCAGCTCTGGGGTATTGATCGAAATAGTTACAGAAGAATTTTAATGGTTATAATTAATCCTTAATTGAATGCTCCAGTTTGTATTAATTATTTTTTGTACATCATGTTATTGATGAAAATTTTCAGGGTAGCATCATTCGTAAAAGGAAACAGCACAAAGAGTTCCTCAGTAAAATCCCAATGCTAGGTAACTTACAAAAGTTCATTCTGCTTCTGTCTTTGCAATAAACATTTGATTCATAGTTACATATTCTATTGAAAAACGTTTCAGCCAATTTGGATGAGTGGGAGATACTAACAGTAGCCGATGCTTTGGAGCCCATCTCATTTCAGGAAAACGAAATAATTATCAAACAAGGTGACGCTGGAGATGATTTCTACATCATAGTTGAAGTCAGTTCGTTTTCTATACCCATGGTGTCAGTTTGATATTTATTTCTTTTGTTATTTCAAGGGTGAAGCTAAGGTCCTTCAGAAGAAAGAAGGATCCGACGAACAAGTTGAAGTGGGAAAACTTGGACCGTCCGATTATTTTGGTATTACTTGCTAATCATTTACTCATAATGGAAATAATCACTTTATTAAAACGTTTTTTACGCAGAACAAATAAGAATAGTTTTGGTTTTATTAGATTAATATCACCATGAAAGTAAATTATCTATTTGATTGTTGTTACAGGAGAAATTGCCCTGCTCCTGTCACAACCACGTGCTGCAACGGTCATGGCAACAAGCAACTTGAAATGTGTTAAGTTGGATAGACCACGCTTCGAACGGGTATTAGGACCGTGTTCTGACATTTTAAAAAGAAATATCGAAACATATAAAAATTATTCCCAGCTGATAAATAAAACATAAATTGGTCTGTTAAAAAAGTAACTTTTTATTTTCTAAAGATGTTGTGTAAGTATGTGGTGATGTGATGTAAAAAAATGTACTGGTTCAGGTATAATATCATTTTAATAATTTATTTTTTTGTATAAATTATAAATATTGTTGCAAGGATCATTTAAACACTTGCCCTCGACAAATAAACTATTTGGCAAACATATTTTGAATGTAAATTCTAATCAGTGTTGTAGGATATTAGTGTTATTTAATGTTATCAAATGGCATTGGACTAAACGAGAAACTAAGCTGTTTTATCAAGCTTTATTCAATTTTTATGATGAACTATGTTTACTGTGCGTTTGTCTGTGGCATCATATAATCTTACTTCCATCTTGTCTCGCTAATCAAATCTGCTGTACCCCTGTTGCTTACTAACTGCAATAATACAGAAATTTATAAGCAAGAACAATTTTATTTTATATCAGATTTTCAAATAAATTTTTTCCATTTTTAATAACATTTTTAAATTTAGTTTTTTCAATTGTTTATTTGGTAAACAAATTTTACTCGTCCATCGTCTAGTTCAACTAAATATTCGTAACATTCAATATTTACATATATCAATTCAATGTTCTTAACAACCTGTAATTTGTACGTAATTACTATTATTCTTCGTTCATGGTATTGTAGCGAAATAAATAGTCTAAATGTGCTGGAGTAGTGAATTCTAATAAATGAAGATAGAAAAAACATTATGATAAACATTCTACGTGATACAATGTTTAATAACTCATTAAACATTGTATCTTGAATGTTGTTGTTTTAAATGTTTGACCGGTTTGACCAGTTTAAGATAACCTGCCACAATGTATCAGTGCATAAATTATGCAAAATATAAATTATTTATTTTATAAGTGGTTTACGATGTAAACAATGTATGATATAAACAATGCAGATTTAACATCTTCAACGCTTTTTTGTTTTGAGTGTGTAGGATATATTGAATTTCTTTTTTCTTGGTTTCTGCTTTAATAAACAATTCAAGTTGGGACCACTTAAATAATGAACGGGATAAATTAAAAAAATGATAACAAGATATCAACTCAACTTTAAAATTTTCAAACGAAAAAAAATGTATTTGAAAAATTTTGGTCCAAACCAGTGAACATTAGATCTTTTGACCTATACCAAGTTTGAGTTGTTATTACAGTGATACTCCTCCCCAACGACCTCCCTATTTTCGACTCTCTCTCATTCCCGACCGTTTTGTTTCTGACGGACTGTTTTCACATCGAGCATCACTCCCGATCTAGGACAACAACCTTAAAAAACACAAAAAATTAACATTAACACGTAAAATTTACGACTTTGTAAAACTTTTGAAGTGTGGATTCAAGATCCCAACAACTAATGTCATTGAAGGTAATAATTTTTTGGTTTTTATGTTTGTTTTCATTCTTTTTTCACCTTTATTTTTAAATTTAATTGGAAAATGTATATTTTTCTTTAAACCACGTTTCAACTTCCTAAGAAAAAAATGTTGAATATGTAAACGATAATTTTCAGATGATGTAGCGTGTAGATGTAGATGAAAAAAGAAAAAGAACCCTGCAAATGAAGTTAAGCTCCTCAATGGCATGACATTAGAAGAGTTTGCTGCAGTAGATGGCAAAGTCCCAACCTGTGCTAAAACAGAGGAAGATAACTTGGATATTCAGTCACAACCTGAAGAAGATCCACAAAAAGATCGCACTGATGAAATAATTGAACCAGTGATTTCTTTTGCTGCTGCTGCTAAAAGTACTCAGCAATTGATTCATTTTGCTCTGACTCATGGATTTCAAGGCATTTCAGAACTTTTGGAAAATTTTCATGGTCAAATTCAAACAGAACATTTTAAAAAGAAGTCAACAGTTGTTCAACCTCCACTTACTTCATTTTTTTCAAAAATTAAATAAATTTTTGAGTTTAACCATACAACATAGTTTTTCCTTCCAAACTATATATTGTATGAATATAATGCAATGCTGTGTACATTTACTAATAAAAGAATAATGTATACATCGTGTGTACCATTTTTTATTTGGTTGTAAATATGCTTTCTCCCCATTGAAGACCCCTCCCTTTTAAGACCTGATTTTCAAGACAATTTCAAAGTTGTTAATAGGGAGTACCACTGTAATATTTTCAAAAAGCAGAACCGAGTTTTTATTTTGTTACTCCAAATTGACAAAAATTTAAATGAAAATAAGAAAAAACATTAAACTCTTGATACTATGATAACTTTCTTATACACTTACTGTAACCATCTAGGCTGGGTTATTTTCATGTAAAATAACAAATGCAGCAGATGTCAAACTTATGACAAATTATTTATTGCTTATTATTTATTGTAATATTTTGGTTAAAGATTTTTTCATTTATTCATTAACATTTACTATCGAATTCATATCTATAGAAATTTATTTTTCCACTTAGGAACTTGTGTACAAACAAATTTTAACAAACGAATTTTGTTTTGTTACCTAATAAAAGAACTTTATTGTATCTATCGTGTTGGTTGCATGCATTGAACCAAAGTTGTAAATCCGTACAAGATTTCAACATTGGGGTCCAAGATTTGTCTAGTAATTTTAGTTTTGTGTTTTTCTCTCATGTGAGTCTTTATAGCGCCAGTTTGTACATGCATCGTGAGTCTTTTCGATAATTTCGTCGTCGTCATACCAATATATTCAGAATTATGGTGCCTACACTCACCAGTATTACATTCGAAAAAATATATTGGATAGGCTATGATCCATTATCGATTCTGGTTTATGCGTAAAATAAACAAAAATTCTGGTTTTGAACTAAAGAAACTTGAAAATGATTTACGATCGACTGTTAGAAAAATCGAAAAGTTGAATTGGAAGTTAACTAACGCCTAGAAAAATCAAAAAGTTGAATTGGAAGTTAACTAACGCCAAATATGCTATTAATATATATATATATATATATAAATTATATATATATAAATTATATATATATAAATTATATATATATATCGCATCACATTCACCTTCACACTTAATATAGCACCTCATATCAATTACATCATCTCAAAAGGCTTTCAAATATGCAGCTCATTCCTGGTCTAGTTTTGCTACACAACAACTTCAGCAACTACAATCTCTCATCAAAAAACTAATCCGCTTCAACTATCTGCCTGCATCATATCCTCATATCATATATCATGTCGGGTTTAAACGGATGTTCAGTTTTTTTTACGTTTTCTTATTAAAACTCTCGTTGGTTTTATATACAATCGATTTACAACGATGAATAAAATAAAAAATATTTTGTTAATTTATAAATTATATGTCATGTTTTTGAAACTCAAAATAATCCAGTCGATATTTTTAAATATTCAAACAAATATAATTACTGATGTCTTTTTATTTTCATTCTTCGGTTTTGGAACCAAACTTTCACCTAAAATATTGATAGTTTTTTACTTTTAATGATGCTTAAATAGATTATTTGAATAAAAATACAATAATAAAATATGAATAAAAAAATATAAAAATGTTAAACATTTGAACGCTAAACTCGAGCCTGTTTTAGTTGAATCGTATCGTTGACAATGAACCAATAGAATAATTTAACCAGCAATTTCCATTAACAAGTTTTTGGATTTGTGGCGTGAATTACATTCAACCAGAGATGCACCGAACAGTAAATTCGGCCGAAAATGGCTTATTGTTGAAAAATGGCAGCAAGAGTGAAATAAAACATCAAATTTCTTAAAATTAAGTACGCCATCAGTAAAAAACAAAAAGTTCAAAAATAGTTGAAAAGTTGAAAAAGGAAACTAGGGGTTCCATCAAACGTAGAATTGCTCTTCCAGAATAGAAGTCAAGAAGTCTTAATCTCATTTGTGGAGAAGATAGATTTGATCAACAGAATTTGAAGTTTTCTAGATGTCACAACAAAATAATCAGTTTCTAATGATGCAATGGCGTAAAAATAGCCGCATTGTGCTGAAACACCGTTAAGCTGAAAAAAAGAATTCGGCCAGAGGCCGAATAGTTGGCCCTCTATTTTGTCGAAGCCAAATCCGAATACCAATAACTTTGAACAACTTTGTTGAAACTTTCCGCAACTTTGAACAAACTTTTATATTTTGAAATGAAAAACAATTTATTGAAAAAAAATGGACAATTGGTGTTTATTCAACAACCATTTATTGAGATCTCTTATTCAAATTCTGTTATTTCAAATTTTCCGTTAATAACAATAAACAAATCGTTTTGGAATCCCAAAAATGTGATGATTTAAGCGAAAATTACAATATCTGTCTATTGACATATGTAGGTTATTTTGCCAAAAACGTGATGAGAGATAAGTTAATTAAAGAAAGATCAGAGCAAAGTTGAGAAATGATTAGATTACATAAATCTAAATAATTAATTTTGACCTAAGCTTCATTTAAACAAAATCAATCGTCTTTTTAAAATGTCAGCAATAAAAACAAATCACATTAATTTTGAAGCGGAGCGGCAAAAGTGAATTTATGTAAATAAATGCAGCAAATAAAAGTGTTAGGTACCTATAGAACAAACGCACTAGTAAAAATAAACAAAATCATAAATCAAATCAAATTATAACAGAAACGAATTGATGCAAACGAACTTGTTTCTCTGTTAAATTCAATGAAATAGCGATTTCATATCTACGCAGACGAGTCAGATAGCTGTTAGAGAGGAAGTCTTTCTCGAGCTCATCAATCTGCGACTTCGTAAACGCTGTTCTCTCTTTCTTCTGCTTCATTTTATCTTACAAAATTTGTAAACAAAATTTTGAATATATTATGTTAGTTTTATTGAATTTTTGAAAAAAGATTGATCAGAATATTTTAATGATTTTTATTTCTTTAAAAAATCAGAGTTAGTTTTACTGTGTGGATCAGTTGGGTTATAGACTGATGTTATAAGTAAGTTCAAGTGAATCAAACAAAAATAATTTAGATACAATACAAACAAAAGTTTAAAAAAAACGTTTAAAAAGTTCTATGCCAAAAATTGACATCATTCAGAAAATTTAAATTTATTCTCCAAAAAACAACTAAACGTCAAATCAAAACCAAACTTTTTTGATTTTTTGATGATTAAACATAGTTTGGTTAATCATCTAATAGTAGCATGAGTAGGTACGAAATTTTAACTGAAGTTTCATCAAAAAATTATTTAAATAAATCATTAAGAAAAAAGGCAACATGTAAAAATTGTTTGAAAGAAATTTATTATACCTGAATCTGAATCAGAAATGTAAACATTGTTTGAATCTTCCTCCCACATTTCAACTTTCTTGATTACATTAAAGATTCACATGGAGGTTTGCGAAAAATAACCTGAAGCGGAGCATACGCACAACTTTTATTTACATTTAATCATATCATCCAGATACTATATATATATATACACATACATATATATACTATACATAAATATATCCTATATATTATAGACAATGCATACCACACATCTTTACGGTGTGTCTGGTTCGTGCGTAATTTGATACAAGAGGATCTGGATATGAAATTAAGTTACGCTGTGTATTTTTTAGTTTACACCATTTTCCAACATTTTTATTTAAAAAAATATTTTATTTATTTCTTCGTTATTTTTGTTAAAAAATTATAATATTACTCTTATCATTCTTTAATTTTTGTTTAAATTTTATTATTTAAATTGTCAGCTCTTCCTGGCTAACGAGGTACGAAGAGATAGATAACATTTTGTCAATAGAGATCATTTGCAAATTAAATTTTTTTTTCTTTATTACGCATTTCTTTCAAACAAGAAAATGCTTACGTTTATTCTAAACTTATAATTAAACATTTTTGTGACACAAAGGCTCTACGTACATGGCGTATGATAGTCTTTAAGTTTCGTACCAACGGTACTTGAACCATGCCATGGGCCATCGCCTAATAACAACGCAAGACATGGCACTTTTACCGACTAAGCTAACTCGAAGACCATAAATTTTAAATTTAGCAAAGGTTCGCCGAGTTTGCCCGAATAATAAGATTTGTTCATTTCTCTCAGTTGATATATTTGAAAAAAGTTCATTCATATAAAATTATGTCGCCTGTCATTTATTTTGTTTATTGCAAAACATATTAAATTTCAATTTCATAACTTTAGTTCATTTTTGGGGTCAAATTTTGAAAACAAATTGTTCTAGTACAATTAAGACCCAAGAATGAATTGTATAGAAGCAATCCATTAATATGATCTTCAATCATTAGCGACTAAACTTGCGGAAATTATGGTTTCGATCTGTAAAGAAACGTTTGAGAAAGCGAAGTTCTTATGTGAAAATGTGGAATTGATATGAAATTACGTCTAAAGAGACACCGAAAAGAGTTTGGAAAACTGGCTAGTTATGCTGGCCTTTCAGCGGAAGATGAACTTTCATGTGTTTTGAAGCAATCGAATGCAGCAAGAAATAAGTAGGCGATTTACAAGACTACGTGATTTCAACTCCAAATTTAGATTTGTATTGGACGTGGATAATTATTTGAAAAAGAAACAAAATAATGGTGCTGTTCAAAAACGTTGTATAATTCTAGGTATGTTTAATAATACAGATTTTGATGGAGCAGAACTGTTTGTAAAAATATGTGACTGTAAAATAATACTCACTAATAGGATAGAAATGGAACCTAAAACGACGATAGTGCTTCTTGCCTTCGTTATCTCTTATGGGAGAAGACGTTTTTCCAAATCTCAGGGGCACTTCAAACACTTCTATATCTACAACTCGCAATCTATATCAATTGCGAGTTGTGAACGACCTTTCAGCAAATTATAACTGATTTCTATATATATAAGTCAACGATGGGACAAGATCGCCTAAGTGACATTGCATTTCTAAGCGTAGAAAAAGAAAATTTGAAGTTATTGATTTTAATGAAATAATTAATTGATGTGTTTGCATTTTTAGGGACAAGAAAAATATATGCATATTAAAATAATACACAATTTCGAATATAAAAAAAAACATTTTTATATCTAAATATATATGGATTTCTTGGCATTTCAAAAACGATTTTTGTTTAATAAATTTCAAAAAATATTGCTATAGAAATAGAAATAAATGTCTCTTTCTGTTGCATAACCCTTCACTTATTCATTTTTTGTGTTTATACAAAAAAATTCATTTTACGTGGGGGAGGTGGCGCAAGACAAGAGTTGTGCACCGGGCGCCAGTTTTGCTCGCTACGCCACTGCATAAACATCACAAACATCTAATTATAAGTACAACTTTCTTATCGTCAGAGAAAACTGCTTCACGACATTCAAACCCGAGTTAAAACATTAACTTGATGCATTTACATTCTCAGTAGATAATATATTACAAAACTAAATTGGTGTTTATAACTCGGGCTTTTGATGAAGTCCCATGGAGGGACGAAACGCGTCTAATATAGAATAAATAACATACCATTGGCTCCTACATCAATCTCTTTCTCTCTCTCTCTCTCTCTTTCTCTCTCTATATATATATATATAATTAGGGTTAAGACTCTCGTACATACACTTAATAAAAAGTATCTTTGCTTTTTCAGCTTTGATTGTCATTTCGTATCGTATTAAATACAGTACGAAATATTGAAAAACTGAACCAGAAACTAATCAAAGCTGAAATTGCAGCAAAGTTTCTTTATAACATACAGAAACCATATACTGAGAAAATTGAAGGAAACTTGTAAAAAATGGATTTTTCAGTTCGTTAACTTTAACATTATTTGTGCGTATATTAGTGAGTGACGTCAATGTTGCTCTTCCTCTCAAAATGTTTTATGATGCAATTATGCAATTGAACAGTGCCATATACTTATAATACTTGTAACTACTACTAGCAGAGGAGTTCTTATAACAAATGTCATATTTTTGTACTTCTTTTTAAACTATTATTTTTTATAATCATAATTCTTACTTTCCATGTTTCATTCCCCGCGTTCGACGGAGTTTGATTTACAGAATAAAAAAAAACTTAGTACTGCAGAATTTAAAATAATAATGTTCATAATTTTATGACTACATTTAATTGGTTCAACTTTAGCAGTGTATTTTTTAAATACTTTAAAAAGGTTTGGGGCATTCTAAAATTGGGTAACGTCGGTGGCTACTTTCAATCCGTTTGACAGTTCACACACGTCGAACCTTTTAAAAAAGTTTTTAGACAATTTTACGTTAATTAATTTATCGTCATTATTTCATCTAATAATATAATAAGATGACATCAACTAATCAGAAGGAAACACAAAAAGTGATCGTGTACCCATCCAGGAGAATAACTAACGAGGACGATCAACAACACCAACATCTTAGTAACTTTTTTGACAGTAAAACTTCTGCTGTAGGTGAATTGAATAATTATAATTAATAATAATAATATTTTATAATAAGATAAATAGACTTTGTTATTGTTTACTCTTTTTTTTATTTTATTTCCAGTTTTTCAATACAATTTTTCAATGGTTCAGTTAGTGTTAGACTAACACTAACTGAACCATTGAAAAATTCTATTGAAAATTCTTATGACAAATGTGAAATGTTGATAATAAGAATATGTTGATATGCTGCAGCTAGTTATGTGGCTGATTGTAGTACATTGCTCCTAAACATAAGAACAGTAAACAACTATTCTTTATCCTTTGATGTAACCATTACTACTGGACTTCAACTGTTACAGTTAATTAAAATAACTACTATATGCCAAATTTCTTTTCTATTTTTTTTGTACAATCTATTGGCTCAATATCATTGTTTATTCCACTCTTTAATTTCACATTTGTTATAGATTTATATATATCCTATCTTTAAACTCCAACTTCCTAGTATTTAAACTTTTCATCTGATTTTCATGCACTGCAAAATGTTGTCTTCTGACTATGTCATTCATTTATTTTATGATTAGTTGTTACATAAATAAGTTTTTGGGAAAGTTTTTTTATGATACTTTAAGCCAGATAATGTTAACTAATAATAAGTTTTTGGTAAAGTTTTCATGATACTTTAAGCCAGGTAATGTTAAATAATGTTAAATACCACATTGTTAATGATAATATTTGATTACTTTGTTAATCAAGAGTGGTGAAAGAAATAAACTAATACCTGAGTCACCTTTTTGGATTTTTGTGTACATTTATTTAAAAAAATATATAATAAATTAAAGCCTTTGTGTAAATTAGTCATTGAATAATATGTTAACTTCAAGAAACTTTTAACACATTACTTATAAAACTTTGGAAGTATTAAAATTACCATATTTTTTATAAAATGCTTGTTAGTTTAAGAAAGTTGAAAGATTAATATGTTAACTTCAAGAAACTTTTAACACATTACTTATAAAACTTTGAAAGTATTAAAATTACCATATTTTTTATAAAATGCTTGTTAGTTTAAGAAAGTTGAAAGATTTTATGACTTAAAATAATTTTTTGTAATAATTCGAGAAAAAAATTTTATTTGTAGTGCTTAAAAACTAAAGAGTGTATGAGAATTATTCATGTTGATAATTATGTATGTCGTGTAACTTTTGTTGTTAAAGTTGATCCTAATTTCCTCGTGAAGGCTAATATATTTTCATCTGTTGGTTTTACACAGAATGCTTGTCCAAACACTTTTTCATCCTCACATTCAAATGAAAACAAATGGTCAAAAGGTATATGTTTTCAAAATGTTCAATGCTAAGAGGAGAATTATTATACCAATTATTTTTTTTTAATTTATACAAAAAAGGCAGCAACTCTCCTTTATATGATGAGAAAGAAGGTTTGAAAGAGCAATTAGATAACCAGTTGAAAGTTTGTTATATCAGGATTTTTAAATTATAAGATAATTTATGCAACATGAAAGCATCATTTTTTGTATTATTAATTTCATTCTTTTTCAATCTAACCAATCATTTGTATTGCATTGTAGATAACACTATTGTCAGTTTAAAAGCTATGTTATATTATATTAATACAAATGATCCTCATAAATTATTTCACCTATTTTGTTACAATCTAGCAATTAATTAATCTGCAATTAGTATGGTGAATGTGTAATGTATAGAAATAAGTGAAGTTTCAGCCACTGATTAATATTTTTAATAACATGCGATAAATAGATAAATGCTGACCTGAAGAAGTTGTTGGTTGCTTCAATTGGTGATGATCTTCATAACAAAGTAGAGGCTCTAGTCAGGTATTGGTATCAGTTTCATGTTAATTTTTTAAGGAATAATATTATCTGTTTTTAAGTCATTTTTCAAACTTGAAATTATTGAGGTAATTGAATGGTTGTTCAAATTTACAAACACAAGTTGAATTCTTATTACATAATTCTGAATTTTAGCTAACACTTATTTAACTGATAAACAACACAAAACAAATGTTAGATGATACTCAATTTAAATTAAAGTAAATTAAAATAACTTCTAACTAATAACAATGTAATAAAACTTAGCAAACATAAAACAAACTCAACCATATAGAAAGGTTCGTTTACATTTTGTCACTTGCTATAGTTATCAAAAGCACTTCATAAGTTTCAGAAATTATAAAAAATTTTAAAAGTCTATGAGGATCTGTTTCCTGTCTGTTCAATAAAATTGTCAGACTTCATTAAAAAATAAATTAATATAACTATTAAAACGTATCATTCAATTTATTAACCAATATTATGATTGATCAACTCACCTATTTTTAAAATGTGGAAATTAACAAGAATAAAAGACTGTCTTTTAAGAAACTGATAACGATGTTGAAAAGTATTGGAATGGCTGTTTATGGGTCATTTGTAAATAACTGAATTAATTAATATTGATAATGTTTTAGATTCTTTTTCAGTTTCAGTTTGTAGTTAGTTTTGCAAAGCCAATTTGAGTTTCAGTTTTATCTTCTTTTCAGTTTCTATTACAATTTAAGTTTCAATTTTATTTCAAGTATCAGTTTTATTTTAAGTTTTAGTTTTGAAGAACACTCGATTTTGTAAAGAAATTAGAACAAAACAATTGTTGTTGTTCAAAGTTTGATGGCATTTATATTCCCAAGGTGATGCAATTTTTTGCCAATTCGAATATCTTAAAAATGGATGGATATTAACAAAAACAAAATAGCTTTCTGTTTTTAGAGAAAATTAAACATTAATTAACAAAACAATTGAAATTAGTAAACAGTTTTATGAGATTTGAAAAACAAAATGTTAAATATTCACACAAACAGTAAATTATGTTCTAAAAAAACGTTTCCCAAGGTTGTTGCTCATTTTATTTTGTCGACCTTCTGTCAAAATAAATACGCTTGAAAATAATCGTTAAACAAAAGCCTGCGACCATAGCAAAACTAATATGTTAGAAGCTATACTAGAAAGAAGTGGCAAATCTGTCTTTTTAATCCATTTTAATCCATGCAACTATTGAGTCTTTATTTTTTGGCAATAATTAGCTGTTAATTTTAGATATATATCTGTCCATTTCCATTTCTTCTACATCACAATAGTTGTTGAAAAAATTAAATGCCTTGATGGATTTGGCATTGGAAAAGTGAGAGAAATTTTGAATGAGATTTATAACAGCGGCGAAATTCTGAAGATCTATCCAAATCAATATTTATTGCATTGCCTAAAAAACCTAACGCAACGGAATGTGAACTACATCGAACAATCAGTTTGAGAAGTCATCTTAAAATTTTCTCTTGAGATTTTTGATAATGAGAGCACGAAGAAAAAATAAGATCGGAAATTTCAAATGCCCATGTGGTTTTGTCGAATATTGTGGCACAAGAAACGCTATCTTTATGCTACGAATGATCAGTGAACAAGCGATTGAAATGAAGAAAGACTTGTTTATATGTTTTGTCGATTACTCCAAACACGTGGAGCTTATGGAAATATTAGAAAATTTCGACATTGATGGAAAAGACACCAGAGTTTTCAAAAACTTCTATTGGGATCGAAGAGCAGAAACGAAAGTTGGTAATAAAATAACTAGTCTTGTCGAAATAAAGAAAGGTGTTAGGCAAGGCTGTGTATTCTCTCCAGACTCGTACGTCTCTAAAGTGAGATCATCATGAGAAAGATAGAAGATCTACCGAGAATATCTATTTGAGGCGTGAATATAAACAAAGATATGCTGATGATACAGCTCATATAGCAGATTCAATAGAAAAATTGAAAACTATTGTTTCTAAATTGATTTTGAAAGTAAAAAAAAAACGCTTCCAAATTAACATCAACAAAACAGAGTGCATGGTTATCGGTAAAACCAAAACCGCCCCGATCTGCTCCATAATTATTAATGGTAAACAAGTAAAACAAGTCTACAGCTTCAATTATCTCGGAAGTCTGATTACTTCAGGTTGTAAATATGATATGGATATCAAAAGAAGGATAGCTATGACGAAAGACGTATATTTTGAAATGAAAAACATCCTCAACACCAATTAAATCAGAATATGGACAAAATTAAAACTGTTAAGTTGTTACATATTTCCTGTGCTAACTTACGGCTCTGCTTCCTGGACAATTTCTAAAGAAATGGAAAAAAAGATTAACGCTGCTGAGATGTGGTTTTTGTGAAGAATTATGAAAATTAGTTGGGCCTCTCATACTTCAAATGAAGATGTATTAAAATAGTTTGGTTATGAAAATAGAAAATTACTGCAGATAATCCGACGGGACAGTTAAAGTTTTTTGGTCACATCATGCGGAAAGAAAGAATAGAAAGTCTAACAACTACTGGAAAGATTGCAGGGGAAATAGATCGTGGTCAACAACGAGTAGCATTCGTGAAGTCTTAGTGTCACTTGTTGAATATCACCATATCTCATTTACTACAAAGTGTTAATGATCGGGTTTTGTGGAGGTCGATGGTCGCCAATGTCCTGAAAGGATAGGGCACCAGAAAGAAAGATCTACAAACAGCACCTATTGCTTCACCAGTATGCGGGTGATTTATAAAGGTAAGGTGTACCATAGCATGATCAGCTTTTGCTTTTAATAACAAGAAAAAGACACTGCCATATGCGATTCCTTGAGTCCTTTCTTAGACCACAAACCAACAGACAATGTAACAATATTAATAGATGCAATCGCAAACTTTATTGTTTCACGTGTCTCGTTCATTAATTGATCCATCATTGATTCAACTTTACTTCTTACTGTATTACATCAAAGTTATTAAAATTATTTAATTTATAATAAATTTTTGTACTTACCTGGTAGTTTAAACTGTGGATCCAAGGCGTTGACAAATTGTTAAAACGCTGGGCAGTCAATTAAGGAAAGCGGCAAACTTGTTTCTGCAAACAGATCAACAACAGCAGCAAGTTTATCCTTATAAACTTTTGAGTTTTCATTATATGTATTAATTTTTTTAACAAAAGCAGCAATTTTAGATTTTGCTTTTTGATTTGAATAACTGGCATCATTGCAAATTTTATTTGAATTTGACAATCTAGTTTTGGCTTTTTCTCTTTTTTTGAGTTTTGAAAACATCAGTATGATAACTTTCTAAATGACTCTTCCAATTTGTTGCATTTTTCCCTTTCATACATTAGGGACATTTCGTCTTCGCCCATGTTTTTTCTCCTAATAATAATAATAATAATACTCATACCACGCCCTCGAGCTTGAAGTGTTTTGTAAACTTGATGTGCTCTGTGAAATTTCGCACAAACAAGTAATTCAAAGTATTTATTTAAAGTAAAACTAGAAGCCCAAAAGGCTCGTATTGCCACCTGACTAACGGAAAAAATATAATAAAAAATAAATTGTTTATGTGATAAATTATTGACTGCTTTCTTACCAATAAAAATATATATGTCTATCACTCGGAAAATTAATTAAAATCAAACAGCTGTCAAATGGGAAAAAAACAAGAAAAAACAAAAACGATCAAATTGCATCAGTTTTTATAAGTTTGTAGATGTCAGATTTGAACTTCGAGTACTTCTATCTGTTAGTGGGTCATACTGAAAATACTCCCATATACAATTCTCCTGTTAGCGACCTGAAGAATCTTTCTGCATTGTTTTCTTATACTAATATTAAGCCTTAATTCTAAATATTATATTTATTTACTTATTGTTATACTGTAATTTAGCATCTTTTTTTAAGTTTTAAGTTTTAGTTTCAGTTTCAATTAACTTTTTTCATTTCTTTTTTAGAAAAGATTTTTTCAGTTAACTGATATTTCAATTTCAGTTAGTTAACTCCAACAATATTAGAATTAATTACAAACTTTTTTAATGGTTCATTTTTCAACTTGTGATTCCTCAGGACGAAAGTACAATTGACATCAGAAGTAAATGCATACACAAACAAGCTACTTGAAGATTATGAAAGCATCGACAAACTTTCCATACTAGTCGACATGTGGTATTCAAAATTTCAAGCTTCCAGGTTTAAATATCTCAAAATATATTTTATTCCTTTACTTCATTCATTATGTTTCCTTCTTCGTAGACTTCTTATAAACCAGTTAACATCAGATAGAGATACTCTTTTGAACTTGTACTTGCAATCTAAGAATGCCATACAATACACAATTGACGAAAGACAGTATCTTTATAAAGTTTTGTCCGACACAAACAAGTTAGTCTGTCAATTATTTCATCTCTAAATTATAAATTTAATACCAATTGAGATGTGAATGAATGAAAACATTCAACGTGCAGAAATAAGTGCATAATAGTGAAATAAGTTTTGTAATCAACTGTGCAGGATGCTTTTAGATTTATTAAAAATGAGAAACGATGACACGAACGCAATGAGCACATTGGAGCTGGTGGAGTACAATAAAGTTCTAGTGGAAAAATTAAACCCTAACCAACCTGACACCTCATCGACAACTGAATCTACAAAGTATACTTGTGCCGAGCGGTTAGCAAATGAGGTAATTTAAATTTCAGTTTTTTGCGTTTCATCTGATTGTTCTTTAAGTTTAATTTTATCTCACCTAACCAGGTGATTGACGGGAAAATAAGCATTATGTCTCAGGAGAATCATAGACCGTTACCAAGGTTTCATCCAAAAACAAAGTATTATGGCGTAACCTTCAATTGCTGCAAAAATTGTAAAGGAAATGTTCTAATAGTATAACAGTCGGTTTAATTTCATTCATCCATCTTGTGCTTGTCTCATCATTTTGTATGTTAAATGTCATTTACCTTAATATTTCCACTACATATAAATCTTTCCGTTCATATGCCTTTCTCTAAACGGATGAATTTTGATTAATTTGTTTGTATTTATGTTACATTCTGTTTGGTAGCTAAAAATTCAAATTTTGGTTAATTTATTTATCTATCAAATAAATTATATCGTTATTTATTTGGTGCTATAAATAATTCCTTCTGTTGAAGTATCACCCGCTTTAACTTTTGCTATGTGGCAACGGAGGTTAAAATAATTTTTTATAGTAGAGATTTTTTAGTTTTTCATAAAACGATGAGTGATACAGACAAAATTCAAAACCAGACACGGCATGATTTAGCATAATTAAATCAGATTAGAACAAGTAGGTGAATATCTGTGAATGAATATTAGAGGTACAAACGTCAAGTTGAAATAAAATTTTAATTGAAATTGTTGGTCTTGCGGTTTGTTACACTTTGCATAAATTCAACTAACTCTAATCAAAATAGAAAAGCAGATGAGAATGTAATTACGCAAAACTAAACCTGGCAGAGAGAGCTGAAATTGCCAACTGTTTTCCACTTAAAGTTTATGCATTTAATTCATGTCATGTCTTCTAGGTAGTAAATTAAAAAAGCAGAATACAAAGCAAGTGTCATTCCAAACTCAAATATTTGAGTCAAACTTTATTGCAGCACCATTGTTAATTTTGGCCGGTATTTTTTTGAGAACTGCACGGATCCACCACACGTCAAAAGTGAGTTTATTGTATTGTAAAAAAATGTATTCTGCATAAAATCTATGCTGAAAAATATGGTTGGCATGAAGCGAAAATGCATTAACTAATATTGTACTGCCAATTAAATTTTTGTTATAACAACAGGTTAGGAGCTGTAACAATATAAATACATTTGTTTTTATCACATTGGTTGAAAAAATTTCTTGACCGTATTTACTAATTAGAATGAATATTTCTAATAATAGAAGCATATAACAGAATTAACAAAAATAGTTGAATTAGACAAAGGATTTTAAAGCAAGATATACAACAGCAGCGGCCACAAGTCCTGTTCCATAAATTAGACCCGTCGTCATTAAAGCATTTTTTTTTATTTTCCATTCCAAATCGTCTTCCATCCTTTGCAGAAGATTGGTTATCTCTGACCCAACGTATACTACCTTTTCCTGGCTTTCATCATATTTATCGTTGGAGGCTGCAATCATTTTTTTGACCAAATTTTTATCTTTTTCAAGCATATGTTCTTTGTTTTTGATAGCTGTAAGGACATCCAGATTTTCCACCTAGAAAAATTGATATAAAATGAAATGCAAGCATGCAAATAAAATATAGCATAAAAAACTAAACCTTGTTAACGTTATCAAACTTTTCTGACTCGGATGCCAACAACAAAGGTAACTTCAGTTTTTCTGGTGCTTTTCCTTCTAATATTAAGGTTTGTAGGTCTGATAGAAATGAAATGGTTTGTCCATATTGCGCCTGAGCCACCTGTGACAAATTTTTAACGATATCCTTCAACTCTAAATTTTTGTCTGACCCCTCTTGAACCAGATCTTTCAGTTCTCTCATTTTCATGTGGTTGTTAATTGATGTTCCCACTATTCCTATAGCAGCACCAATCACTGAGCCAATGATTGACCAATATTTCGTTTTTTCAGCCTGAGCTCTTTCTTTTTCGTGGCTTTCTCGAAGAGCAGAAGAGAGTGCAGCAAAATGGTCATGCTCTGCCTGTTCCCAGTGTCGCAGATCTTGCATTAATTTTTTTTCATTTCTCAGGACATCATGTTCCTCAGTTAATAAGATCAGGTAACGTTCATCTCCTCTCTGCAGTTTATCTAATCTGACATGGATGTCTTTAAGACGGTTCTGAATTTCTGTCATTTTTGTCTGACAATTTCTTCTTTCATTTTGTACATTTTGAAATATTTGTTCTGCCTAATTTAAAAAAAAAACTTGTAAAGTAACGAATTAAAAAGTGAAGTAACACATCAGATCGCCAAGTTCGAAACTTGTGAATTAATGCCAAAAATCTCTATTATAAGTAACATAGCACTTATTCAACTAAACGCACTCCCGTGAATAACCTGCATTCTGCTTGTAAATGTTTTTGAGAATTAATTAACAATAATTCTACTAAAGATGTATGCATAAATAACTTTCACAGGTACAGATGAAAGTCATGTAGCTACTTGCCCAAAGATCTTTGAGAATGCATATCAAAGATGCATATATCAAGCATGGACGTTTTCAAGTACTATTTCTGAAGTGCAAGTACTAAGGTCTCAAGTACCAGTACTGAAAATTAAGTTTTTCCAAGTACAAGTGCCTACACCTCAGGTACAAATACTATAGTTCAAGTACGCGTACAAACGCTCCTATATCAAATGTACTTATATTTCAAGTACTTTTATCTCAAACACAAATCCGGCCAGAACAGAACCGTTGTCGCAGGCAGATTTGTGCGCAGTGCATCTTGTTCAAAACTTGTGACTATGGCTTCATTAGCTTGCCTATAGTTTGTCTCAAACCCATCATAAAACCTCGTTACATTACGAATGAATTAACTTAAATTTTAAAAAAATTGAATACCCCTTAATCTTTTTTGCGTATATAATAAAAACATGTAGAACTACATATGCATGCAACAAACTTGTTAACAGATTTTGAAAAACAAACTTCTCAATCTTTGCGCTTGGTGTTAATGTTTGGTATTAATTAATTTAAAAATAATCAAGAGAGCCATAACAATTAAAATCATGCAAATCATTTTGCATATATACAATACGTTCATTGATTAACATACATGTCAACAAATAAATGTATTTGACTCAATTTTCGCCTGGCAGAATTTGGAAAAATAGCCGAATTCTCCAATTAAATTATTATTAGTCTCTTTAAAAATAGTAACTACAATGCTGTAGATTTTTGTAAAGTACTTGCAAGTACAAATACATTGTAAAATAACAAGTGCAAGTACTTAGGTGTCAAGTATACATGTACTTAAAATTGGTACTAGAACAGTACTCAAGTACAAGTGCTAAATGCAAGTATGCTATCAAGTAAGTATGTATCAAGTAAGTTGAGTATGAGTATGCAAATAAATCAATCAATCTTCGTTTTGTGTCCAGAGGCCCGGTTTCCCGAGGTAGGACGTTAAATAAATGCAAATAAATAATAAGAAAACAAAGTAATATGTGTTTAAGAGATGAACTGTTTTGAATTTTTGTTTTATATGGATTAAAATTAAAACCATCTTTCTTAACAAGAAAAGTGAACACATTTTGGAGGAAACAACTGTTTCTGATGTAACGTTTCAAGCTCATTTATTACTAGAAAGATGATGTCTTCGTTCATTTATAATGGAGTCAAAAACAATTTTTTGTATCAACATACATAGATTGCATTTTATCATTACGAATGATAAAAATTTTATTATTATCATTAACATAACCCATTAAGACTGTACTGTTAAAATAATTTTTTAAAAGTTTAACAAGCACTATTTTGCATATTAAATAATTAAAACATGCAGCATTTAATGGACAAGTCTGACAGACTTACATCAATAACTTTTTTCTGTGCTGTCTTCACTTCAGTCAACCCAACAAGATTTTCATACTTTTGCAGCAGTACATCAATCCTGTTATTAATTGCAGTATTGAAATAATGGCGTTGAATTTGCTGTGGTAACTTGTACAAGTTCTTTTTCATCAACATGATTTTGTACCAATCTGTGTTTCTTTTATACTTGAACAAAAAACAGTAAGCATTATTAACAATGTTACCATGACTACTTTTTGTACATTAAAAAAGTCCTGTAACTGCAAAGGTGGTTGTTTAAAAAGCAAAAATATGCATCACTTTTAAAGCATCATTATGGTCGGCTAGTGTAATAATTATTACTAATGTGTAAATTGAATGAATCCTGATTTACAAAATTAATTTGGAAAAAGAATGAAACAGATGGTTTAGCTAAGAACTTTTGGCTTAAGATAGATTCTGTAGCAAATAAGAAAAATTTGTTTTGCATAAAAAAAATCTTTATTGACCACATCATGTTTAATATTCTTAGAGTCAACTAACTGAGCATTCACATTTCTAAGTAGAAAAGATTACTTTCATATTTAAAAAACGTTTTTAATATTTTAATCAATTGTGTGCTGATGGCCCATATCCACACTTCTTTTCCTCCATCTTATTCAAATGTAGCTTTTCATAATCGATCTTCATGTTTATTATTGGGTGAAGTAATTCAATGTACTTTCAACTAAATCTTTCTAAATTTGATTATTATTTATTTAAATAACTTTAAAAATTATTATTTCCTTCATAATCCTACTCTTCTGATGATTTAATTTCATCTAGGATTGACTATTGTATTACCTACATCAGTGTGTCCCAACATGAAGCAATTTCATTCTCAAGTAGGCAGTGGGGCTTTATGACTAAGCTGAAAATAAAAAGAGTTGAAAAAACTGTATGTAATAATAATCATAAAATACATGTTGAATAGATAATTTATTAAAAAAATCCCAAAAAAGGTCAACTTTTTTAACAAAAGGTGAACATTAGGTTGCAAAAAAAGTTGAAAAGCCCAGCTCCACATCATTCAACTAAAACTTTTGACTCTGTAGCTCATTTATCTGCTGGTACACCTCTCATTCATATATATATCCTTAAATTCTCTTGAACTGGCTACCTAATAAATTAGTAGGTTAGCCAGTTTGAGAACAAAATAATAAATGTTTAGTTAGTATTAAATTAATGCACAAATTTTAATCAAACTTGTTTGGCATGCTTTTTTTATAAAAAAAACTTCATTTAACTGACTAAATGTCTAATATGCTTTTTCATAATTCCTGTTATGTTCTTACATTAAATTTGTTATTTCTGCTTTATTTTCTAGAACTCTCTACCATTTTCTGTTAAATACTTCTCCATTTATTACTTAATTTATTTATTTATTATGAGACGTTTAAGGTGGATCTTGAAATAACTTTAGTCTGAGTTCCTTTTAATCTTAAATGGGTGTAAGCAATTGTGATAGAATGTTAGATTGGTACCACATCGCTATTCTTTACAAAATGGCTTTTAAATTTGGGGAAGAGTCTAATAAGAATGATTATATCATTTTTTTAAAAGTGAACTAAAAATAAAAATGTAAAAAAAAAAGGTTTTGTAGATTTATTTAAAATTGATTTAATAAGTTTGATTGGGCAATGAAATATTTTAAAAAAATGTTTTGGATTGTTTAAAAATACCAACTATCTTGCTACAAATACTAACTTTAAAAAACTAACTAAACCCTAACTAACCTAATGCTAACCCAAATTATTTTATTGTTAAATTAAACATTTATTGAAAAGAGCCTCTTTGAACTTTGCAGAAATGTTGCTTAATTTAGTTTAGAAATAAAGTTATTTATTTAATATTCGAAAAAACAGAAAAATGAATGATTTGATTTTGAATGGGTGATAAAGATTTTAAAAAACAGAATGTAGAATGAGGAAACCAAACTAAGAGAAGCAGAATAGAAGGGCACTGAACATCTTAACAACTTTATCTGAAATTTTTTCTAGTTATAATTTAAAAAAGTAATAATTGACAGAGATTGAATAACAAAATATTAAAAAATCAAATTCACCAAAGTTTACGAGCAAGCACAACACAAATAAAACATACCCAAACAAAATTAAACGGAACCGAAATCAAAAACAATTCTCTTATCGTACAGGAAGATGGATAAGAAGGCAAGATGTATAAGATGGATTTCTGATAGCTTAATGGCACAAACACATGGCACGATAATGACCCTTTAACAGCACATATGCTAATTATTTTTAGCAGAAAATATGCTAGCAACACATATGCTAATGACCCGTTAGCGCAATATACCATACAATCTGCCTTTTTAACGCAAAGGCATATATTATTCTATACAATCCAATCCATCCAATGATTCCTATTGTCCGAAGACCGCCGAAATAATCGGCCTCGGCGGTCTTCGGTATAAGAATTATTGGATGGATTGTTCAGACGGTTTAAACGGCATCATATATATCTGTAAGATATATGAAATATATCGGCTTGCTTTTTTGCCAACATACGGATGGCAAAAAAGCAAGCCGAAAACCGGTTTTCTGGAAAAAACGATTATCGGACAGGGCAAATCTTCTTTCAGTAGTAAAGTGAATAAAAATCAAAGGATTTGTGATTATCTACGGTGTTCAAAGATGATGTTAAATCAATTGATTTAAATTCGTCGTCAACAACGTGTATGCTTGATCGCCCACGAGTATTTTTAAAAAGCATATTAACCTCTTCTTTCCATTTATAACTGATTTGATTAACATGTTTTTGAAAACTAAAAGTTACCCATCGATTCATAAACAAGCAATTGTTATACCTACCGTTACCGAAGTAGCCATTTTTTGACGCAAATAACCCTAGAAAATTTCGGCCTATTTCAAATTTAGCATTTGTTGCAAAGATTGTTAAAAGAATAGTATCAAAACAAATAAAATATTTCAATGACAACAATTTTTTACCTCATTTACAGTCTGGATACAGACAATTTCATTTAACTGAGACAACTCTGCTCAAGTTATTATCAATTCTGTTTTGTGCATCTGATTTGAAGCAGATGTTATTGGTAGCATTGCTTGATATGAGTGCAGCATTTGATTGTATTGATCATAATATACTAATGAGGAGGTTGTCTATAAGTTATAGAATATCAGGCACAGTGTTAAAATTTGTTGATTCTTATTAGCATGGCAGGACACAGCAAATGTTTTTTCAAAATGAATATTATAATAAAGAAAAAATGTACCTCAGGAATCAGTTTTGGATTCATTTTTTTTCTTGGTTTATACTTCTGATGTTTTGATATTATTCAGAGCTATGATATGAAATGTCTTGCTTATGCGGATGATATAGAGTTAATGTCGAGTGCATCATATGAAATTTTTGAAGACTTAGCTAACAGAACCCAAAATGATATAAAATTAAACAAAGACAAAATCAAATTACTGCCGATAGATATTTGGCAGCAGACTTTGAAGACACGTATAAAGTTGTTAAAGATTGACGATTCTGTTATTAAATTTGAAGAAACAGCAACGGTTCTTGGGTTTACGAGAGATACCAATTTATTTATGCAAGAACACACTAGGCGTATGGCCAAGTCGTGTTTGTTTTAACTTTGTCAATTGCGGCAAGTAAAAAAGTATTTAAACCAAACCACAATGGTTAACGATTGGACTATTGCAACAGCCTATTGTATGGAACATCGAGAAATGTGGTTGAAATGTTGCAATCGGTTCAAAATAGAGCTTCTAAAGTGGTAATGAGTAGTGAGTAATTTGATCATGTTTCTTCAATCATGAGGAATTTACATTGGCTGTCTGTAGGAAAAAAGGATCATGTTCAAAATATGTGTGTTGATGTTCAGATGTTTGAATGGTCTTGCTCCACAATACTTGTCAAATATGTTTGCATTCAAAAATACGAATTCACAGAACTTTGTTTTATGATCAAATGATCAGAACTATTTAAAAATTTTGGCAACTAAATCGATAATTGGGTCGAGGAATTTTGCTGTTTGTGGACCGAAGATATGGAACAAACTTCCGTAAACCATATGCAGACCTGGAATATCACTTGTGTGGTTAAAAAAAGAATTGAAGACTTTTTTATTTTGATATTTTTTTTATGAACAATATTATAGTTGATAATGTGAACTAAAAACCATTATATTTTTAATTGTTATTTGATATTTCTTTCTGTGAACAATATTACGCAGTTGATAATATTTGAGAGCGCTTTTGAATAACTTTTTAAAAGGCGCTCTATAAATTTTCCTATAACAATAATAATAATAATAATATTAATGGAAGGTGTTTCCCGTTTAAACTTAATAGTAATAAATTTTTTTGGCTGTTGTCCAGTCTTAGTTTGTATGTAGTTTTTATAGTAATATGAGCATATAATTAGAATACCTATCTAGCCCTCAAATGCACCATTGCACTTTAGGGTTCGGCCTTATTTTTTAGTTTTCATGAACAATTATTCTTCAAGTTCATCAAATTTTACAACTTTTATAGTTTATTAATAAAAACTAAATAAATAAATAAATATTAATAATTAATAAATTTAGTAATAAATACTTAGTAATTTTTATTTTAAAACTTATTAATTTTGATTAATTTTAATTGATTTATTTTTTTGCATAATATTTCAACATATCGTGCTTGACAGGTCTCTCCCTACACGTTATACTTTTTATCAATCAATCAATCAATTAGCTTATAAAGCGCTATTTCCGCGATGTTCAACAGCGCCCCTCAATGAATTTTGAAAACAGATGGGTCTTGAGATCCGCTCTGAACTTTGCAAGTGATGGAGAAGTAGTCAGAGAAGTAGGTAGAGAGTTCCAGAGAAAAGGACCAGAAAAAACAAAAGCAGATTTGGCAAAAGAGTGTTTAACACGAGTTAAGAAAAAGCGAGAAGAAGAAGACCATCGTAAACCGGGGCGTTTAGGTTCAATAAATATATCTGATAAATACTTAGGAAATAATTTAGATTGAGACTTATACATGAACGTGCAAATTTTAAAAATTATTCTATATTTTATAGGTAGCCAGTGCAAGAGAACAAGATATGGAGATATATGAGAAAAGAAAGGGGCACGATCAACTAGACGAGCAGCAGAGTTAAAAGCTTTACTTAAAGGATAGAGTATAGAGTCAGGAAGGCCATAGTAGAGCGAGTTACAATAATCAATCCTAGATAAGACTAACGAAGTAACAAGAAGTAGAAGAGTAGGATCATCAAGAAAAGGCAAAAGTTTTTTTATTCTACGTAGATGAAAGTAAGAGCTTCTAGCAACTCTATTAATCTGAAAAGAGAGAGACATAGTAGAATCAAAGATAAAACCTAGACTACGAAACTTATAAGAGACATCAAGAGTTTTAGAATCAGGTAAGATAATAGGAGGAATAGTAATAGAGTGTTTAGATTTATTAAAACAAATTAATTCAAACTTAGAAGGATTAAGTTTAAGACACATAGAGTCAGACCAAGCAATAATTGAAGAAAGACATAGAGATAAATTATGAAGTACACTATTGAGATTAGATGGAGGAAAAGAAGTATAAATATAAGAATCATCAGCATATAGTTGACTAGAGAAAGAAAAGTTATTAATAGTACGAGGTAGTTCAGAAGTATAGAGTATAAATAGAAGAGGGCCAAGGATAGAACCCTGAGGTACCCCAAAAGTAAGAGTAGAGGAGTTCGAAGTAGAATTATTGAGAACAACAGAAGAAAAACGATTACAGAGATATGAAGAAAACCAATATGGTGTTTTCGTGTTTGTGTGTATCACAATTAATTTATATATACTAAATTTGTTAAAAAAATATTATCTTTCAATAAATATTTCAACCTTTCATATTTAAACATATTTTTTCAAAAATTTTAAATTTCCCTTTTTAAAAGCTTTCTATAAATTGTTTGTTCTTTTGTAAAAGCCATTTTCATCATATATATACCCAACGTGGATGAAACGTGATTTACTCACACGTTTGTTTGTTGCTGTCAAGATCGCAGGCCAATTCAAGCTCGTTGTTTATTTTTTACGAATTTAAATTTCTGTTGTACGAGGTTAGTTTCAACATTCAAAAAATGGTTTTTTGAGTTTTGTATCATTAGGATGTTTTATTTGAAAAATGCATTTTTATTCAATTTTTTCTATAATTATATTTCTTTCGTTTTTATTGTTTTTAATTTTAAAATGACTTTAACTAAGTTCTCTAGATCTTGTGCTTGTCTTGTTAACAAACTTTACTTAACTTTTCATATTTAATTCTTAACTTAAGTAAATCTTATTACTTGTCAGTAATTTTAACTATTATTATTATTATTTACTCTATTGGCACTCCTCAGAGGATTGAACTGTGATTAACATTAAATTCTTTATTGAACAAATAACTTTTAAAATTCCAATAATATTGAATAATCAACATTCAGTTTGCTTCAATGTTGTTAGAAGATAAAATACAAATATTTTAGGCAGAGCAACTTGCACACATCAGTACAGAATTTGGTTCTAGTCATAGGAATTACCATTTCTGATAAAACTTCACTTCATTTGCAAAAAATCTTCTTAAAATATTTTGGACCCTCACGAAATACACTACCATGAGCCAGCACTGCTTACTTTAATCAAATTTGTTTTCTGATCAGCAACCAATTGCGGCTCTCTAATCAATGACTAATCTACCAGTGGCATTCCGGAGTTGTTGAACTTTATTTACCACTCCTGTACTAGCACTATGCAACATCGAATTGCAGTAGTCCAATTCGATCTAGACATTACCAAGGTCACCACAAGACTAATAATTTTATTTGTGAATGCCTAAATCGAAACTAGAACTAAAACAAGTCTTAAAACTTAAAGTTTAATTTGAATTTGAAGAATTACTCTTTATCTTAAAAGTTAGCTTTTACTTAACTCTCTTTTTATTTTATTTTGAAAATTGCAAGTCTGTCTAGCTGCCAACTGGTGCCATTTCGCAGTGCGTGCGGTAACTAAGTTCGATTTGATTATGACAGAGAGATTTCCACTCATCACATACTTTAAATATATGATGCTCGTGTGTGGCATTGTGTTGATCCCTCTGGACCCAGGAAGAGTGCAATTAACCTTTTACTTAATGGCTCAAGTTTATTTTTAAAATAAATAAAAGAAACTTAAAATTAATTTTAATAGTAACAATTAAAATGACCACTACTACTAACACATTTTTTAGACAGAAGCCGCTGATAGATAGGTGGATGGATGATTTTTTGATATATATAATAGTAAGTTAAAATGACTACTACTACTAACATATTTTTTAAACAACAGCTGCTAAAAGCTGCTGATATATATATATATATATATATATATATATATATATTTATATATATATAATAGTTATTGTAAGCTGGTGATAAACTTTTTTATTTTAATGTTTTATTTTATTTTTTTTTATTCTTATGTCAGTTTCAAAGAGAAAGCTGAAAAAGGTCTGAAATTTAGGCCATAGTGAAGCTTGTATCAATAAATTTTTAAAGAAAACAAATAATTACAACTTTTTCAATCAGTTTCTGCAACTACCAAACTCAACTGCAAGAAAATCTTCACGTTTTCATTTGTTAGTTTGTCGTTATTTGCTGTTATTTATAGTTTTGTATTTATTTTGAATTTACCGAAGAACAACCTGCATACCTCTTCGGTAAATTTGCAGAAGTAAGAGTTTTATTAGCTGCAATTAAAATTGTTTGACAATTGAAGTTAATTTATAATTAAAATTTAAGTTAAAATTTTTACAAGTCTTCAGTTGATGTTACATTGTTTAGTTTGGTCTACTCCATCATAATTATTTTTACAAGTTTTCAATTGAAACGTTTTAATGAAAAAAATACAAAATTCAATTTATACATGTGTGTGAATGTATTGAATGAATGTACATTGTGTTGCGCAATACTTACATAGTGTTATGGCATAGTTGGAAGTTTTTTTTTATAATCTTTTAATAAAATAAATAAAAATAAAAATTCTCAAAGTACTTCACTATTTGGATGAGCAGGCCTTTTAGAGAAAGTTGTAATTGATTGGTTGATTTATTGATTGATTGGTTGGTTGGTTGTTTGATTGGTTGATTGATTGACTGACTTATTGATTGATTCACTGATTGGTTGATTGGAATCTTACTTGTTTTATTCAATTTTTATTTTGTTCATCTGTTATCTGTTGGTTAATAATATGTTCATTGTTATTTGTTCAACTGTTATATTGTTCATTTGTTATAATGCGAAGGTTGGAGTTAAAGAAGAGAATGGGCGTTCCCAAGTTTTACAGGTGGATAAGTGAGAGATACCCGTGCCTCAGTGAAATCGTCAAAGAGTACCAGGTACATTTTTTTTCAAGTTTTGTCATTTTTTTGTTTTTGTCAAAAGTTTGAAATGAAGAAAGATGTTGAGATCAGCAGATGCACCCAACCAAATTCGCAGCATGTTCCACCACTCAGACATAATGATATTTCATTTCTTTAAACTCACACAAAAAAACTTTTTATATTTTTTAAAATAAAAGTCTTTAATACCATGAAAGATTGTAAAGCTTTGTCAATCACACAATATGTGTCTCGTTCTTTTGTTTTTATCACCATAATATTTTTTTTTAAATGTCTTCAATTTTACTTCATTAAAATTAAATAGCCCAACAACAAGTTCCTCAAATTTGAAAACACTGTTCGCTGTTGGCCGTCTCAACTTCATTAGCTAATTTTTTTTCCATTTGTCTAACTAGTGTGGATTTAATCTGATCAATTGCTGTGTTCAATTTTAATGAGAACTGTTCTTGTATATCGCTGCTCACATTTCATCACATTCTTATTATTTATCATCTGTCTGATTATTTAACATAATGATTGATCATTCGCTGTTATTTGTTATTATCAATTTGAATAATTTTCATTATAATTCTGTGATTTTAAATAATTTTATTTATAATTAAACTTTCATAATGGCATATTGATGGACATTTTGTGTGCTTTCCTCTTTTTTTTCACACACACACATGCAGATACCAGAGTTTGATAATCTGTACCTCGACATGAACGGAATAATCCATACATGTTCCCACCCCGATGACAACAATCCCCACTTCAGGATAACTGAGCAGGACATCTTCTCAAACATCTTCCACTACATAGAAGTACGTACGCGGCTTGCTGTGCACTGCACATATAAAACATCCTTCAACTACTTCCCATCTTATTTGTTCATCTGTCAGATTCTTCATGTAAACTTTTTCTCTCTTAACCCACCACTTCTAGGTGTTATTCCGCATGATAAAACCTCTTAAGATATTCTTCATGGCTATCGATGGAGTGGCTCCCAGAGCTAAAATGAACCAGCAGAGAAGCAGGAGATTCAGGTATCCTTCCACTTGTATCATTTCACGTATATCATCATGTATACCATCACGTTTATCATCACGTGTAGGGAGAGACCTGTCAAGCACGATATGTTGAAATATTATGCAAAAAAATAAATCAATTAATCAATCACGTCAACAATATTTTTAATATATCATCGTAATGTCCAAAATTGTTGAAGATATATTTTTAATTTGAATAAATTAAAACAGTGAAAAGAAAATTTTGATTAGAAAAGTTGAAAATCTTAATTAAAACTTTAAAAAATTTGTATTTATATATATATATATATATATATATATATATATATATATATATATATATATATATATGTTGGTAATAGACCATACTTTTTACAATATTCTATAAATTCTACCGAATGTTTGGCGTTAATATGTTTGTAGTTCGTTTTTTCGATTTTTCTCACTAAAGTTTTTTGGTGAACGTTTAGTTTATTAAAATTCAAAATAAACTTATTTTTCGAATTCATGCTGCAAATAAGGCCATATTTCGATTCCGAATGAATCATCGTCATGAATCATCGAATCAACCAACCAAAATATAAAGTTAAACTCCGAATTTATTACAACAATAAAAAGACGTCTCACCTAATACTGAAAAACAACTGTAGTCCTAGAGATAACTCTGTGTTAAAGCGTAATCACGTAATATATGAATTTAATTGCCCCTTTGACGGCTGTGCACGTCAACATGACTCATATATTGGGATTACTACTACCTCACTGACTAGAAGGCTTACGATGCATAAACAGAGTGGTGCTATCAAATCTCATTTGGACTCAACACACTCAATCACAATTAGCCGTTAAATCCTCGACGGCAACACCAAAGTAATATACCAGAACAGCAACTACACGCATCTTAAAATTGCAGAAGCAGTCCTAATCGACATCAATAAACCAAAAATAAATATACAACAAAAAATGACAACCTCACTTCCAACCCGGCGCTTAACCAACAACGAAAACAAAGAAGTAATAAAAACTAGCATCGTAAATAGTGACAAAGAAGAATATGATGCTATCGATGAAGAAAAGGAGACCAAAGAAGATGACCAGCCAATTAAGAAACCTGACACCTAATTCACATCAAAGTTAAATTTTACAACACCAAAGTTAATTTTTACAACGTCAAAGTTAATCTTGACAAAGTCAATATTTCCCTATATACATCAAGGAGCACTGACGATGATTCATTCGGAATCGAAATATGGCCTTATTTGCAGCATGAATTCGAAAAATAAGTTTATTTTGAATTTTAATAAACTAAACGTTCACCAAAAAACTTTAGTGAGAAAAATCGAAAAAACGAACTACAAACATATTAACGCCAAACATTCGGTAGAATTTATAGAATATTGTAAAAATATATATATATATATTTATAGATAGATATTTTAAATAAAATAATTCATATGTAAATATTTTTTATTGTTTTATTGTATATGTCATGCCAACAATATTCTTGTTAAATCCTTTTATGCCATCATCATTCATCATTGACTTTTTAAGTTGCGAATCATTTTAATACTACTTTCCTTTTTTCGTCGGCCTCATTGGAAGCTTCTATTAAAAACTGATCTGCAGCCACTGCTGTTTGATATTTGTCTTTAATTTGTTTTAAATGCTTCTCGCTTGATTGACAGTGTCAGTCATAATTTATAAATTGTTCTTTTTTGCCACTTAATTCAATAATGCATTGCAATGACAAGGTCTGCAAGGGAAGTTGAGGACCTAATTGCCAAGGCCTTGAACAAAGGTGAAGATTTACCGAAAGAAGAGAGATTCGATTCTAACTGCATCACTCCAGGTCAGAGAGTTTCCTCATCATCATCATTTGTCATTTCATTTATATAAACATCATTGAGATTATTATTATTTTAAATATTGTTAAATAAACTTGATGTTGATGGACTAAATATGGAAGAATGAATATGAACTGAAAATAATACAAATGAACACAGGAACTGCGTTCATGGCCAGATTGCACATTGCACTGAAGGACTTTGTTGTGGCGAAGGTCAATTCCGATCCACTCTGGCAGATACCGACCATCATATTCTCGGGGCACGAGGTCAGTAGTTTTTATATTTTCCACTCTTATGGTCGATAGTTGATTATTCTTACGTTGTCTTTTTATTATTTCAGTCTTCCATCCTTCTATTGCGATTGTCTGTTAATGTTCGGCTATCCGCTTGTTTCACAAATTTGCGACTGCAGTGTGCTTCCTAAACATTGTTGGTGCTATGATGGCTTGCTTGGACCTATCATTAATCGCTCACGTCCTTCCCATTATCGTTTTTATAACTCATCCTGAAAACAATTTCATGCTACATGCTCAAAATTGTTGAACACATGTTTCTAAAATCCCTTTCAAGAGTCGACGGTCTTGTCAATTAAGTTTATGTCCAGAACTTAAAGTTGAGATGTTTGCTATCTCATTGCGTTCTTGAGATACGCCTGTTCATTCAAATTTTGATTGAATGCAAAGTTCCATATTTTTTTATAATTAAATATCCATCCACGAATCAACATTCATGACTTCATTCATCTGCCTGCAACTTGTTCAGTACACTTGAAACGTGCAGAATGTATGTTAATGTATCTTATTCCACAACTTAAAAGGACATTTTCTTTTCCACAAAATTTGTTTCAATTAATGTAGAGATTGTAGCTAACTGGACATCAGCAATCGACAATCAATTTGTGTATAAGATATTTATAATCACATTTTAATGATTTGATGACCACTCACTCACTCACTCCCTCATGTTGTTTCATAGACTCCTGGGGAAGGTGAGCACAAAATAATGGATTTCATTCGACACGAAAAGTCAAAATCCACATTCAATCCCAACACTCGACACTGCCTCTATGGACTTGATGCTGATCTGGTCAGTATTTTATTCGCTCAACATGAGTATTTATCAAATAATTTTTTATTTCAATATGACTATTGTGAAAATAAATTTGGAAATGTTGTCAGATAATGCTGGGTATGTTGACTCACGAACCTCACTTTGCATTGCTGAGAGAAGAAGTGAAGTTCACAAAGAGCAAGGCGGACAAACGAGTGACTAGTCCCGAAGACACGACCTTCCATCTTCTCCATCTCTCGCTGCTCAGAGATTATCTCAATCTTGAGTTCTCCTCTCTCAAAGTTATTATTTTCTTGCTCACTTCATAATCTTTACCATTCGAGATTAACAAATATTATAATTGAGTTCATTTATTTGACAGGGAAAGTTAGATTTCAGATATGACTTGGAGAAAATAATTGACGATTGGTTGTTCATGGGCTTCCTGGTTGGAAATGATTTTGTACCCAACCTGCCAAACATTCACATCCACCATGACTGCCTGCCCGTTTTATGGTCCGCTTATAAAAAAGTGCTGCCAAATCTGAAAGGTTTGCTATCGAGATTGATTGGTCACAACTCAGAATGACACATGGCAATCAATTATTTTTCTTCTTTCTTGCTTAGGTTACATCAATGAGGATGGCTTTCTCAATTTGGAAAGGTTTCATATCTACATTAAAGAGCTAGAACAGGTTACTTTGCAACTTTTTAAATTTAAATATTCGTTGCATCAGAAAGTATTTTAACTAATGCTAACAACAAATTATAAATCCTTTCAAAGTTAACATGCTTAAGCTCCTGTCCAAATCTTTTTTATTATCTGAATGTTGACAGAATGTGGACAAAACTAAGTTGATATGGGACAATAGATTCAAATAATTCAGTTTATTGCAGGAAGCTTTTTTCTGACCTGGTGAAAAGCCAACTTGCCACTACGGCCGTTAAAATTCCGTTGTCATTTTATAATACCGTCTTGCATGTTGTAATAGTCTCTGCATCTGTCGGATTCTGGTTTTTAAAAAATAAAAAAATATTCCGTAAAGCCGGTTTGCGCCATTTGACTCACAAAATGATTTCATTGGCAACTTTCATTTTAAAATCTTAGGTACTTGAAAACCATTCCATTATATATTTTAAAACAAACAGTACGATCTAGAGAAGTTCCAGGAACACGCCGATGACATTAGGTGGATGAAGAATAAGAGCAGGAACGGGAAAAGTGGAAATAAGATATTCCGTGGAAAAGTTCAAAATTCAAAAGTTGAGGAGGTTGAGGGTGAAGGTGGTGATGATGAGGATGGTGAGAGTGATGAAATTACGAATGAAGGAACATCGAGTGATGAAGTGAGTGCCATCTACCATTAAGTTTTATTTTTTAATGAATCAGTACCATTGTCAAGTACCCATATTATTACATGATTCAATATTTTACTCTTGGTTGCAAAAGTTTGCTATCTTTAGCCAACAAACCATTCTATTAAATTATTCATTGCAACAAATTAAATTATTCGTATGTATTTTAAAACATTTTCTAGTACAGAATTAAACTTTCCAATTTGTTTTCAAATATTTTAATACCCAAAAATTAATTTTTGTGATAGAAAAAATCGTTAAGCAGTGTCTTACTTGGAATACCCAGTGCATCAGATTTCATAACGACAAAATCGTCTGGCAGCATTTCTGGTATGATTCAATCATTGTTTGCATTAAAAGTTGTACATTCAGTTTGTGCTTGAATCAGAAATTGTGCATTTGTTCAACAAATTCTGCTTCAGGTAATCCAACCAAAGTTGACTCATTGGAAAGGATCAGCAAGGGAACAACATCCAGTTCATCAAATGAAGACAGTGCCTTGAACCAAATGTTCAGGGACTTCAAGGATGAATATTACAAGGAGAAGATGGAACTTCCTTTTGTCGACAGGTATTTTTATCCTTAATCAAAAATTTTCTGACTCCGACTTGGGGTTTCGCGACTCACAGAAAAAGTTTTTACTTTTGCTTCATAATTTCACTTAAATATCCCTTCAAAATGTCACTTAAAATCAGTCAACGTAATTGTTTTTTTATATATTTTTTTTTATTTTTGTTTTAAAACCTACTGAAAAATTTATTTGATTGCATTCACCTATTAGCATTTATTTTAGTATTAAACACATTTATATCTTCTAAAAAACACGATCCTAAAAATTATTTAGAAATAGAAAAATATGAATTTTTCAAACTCTAAACACTT